TTCCTGCTGACTAGACTGCAACTTGGTTGCTGTCTATAATTTCATTGACCATTGATCTCTATCACTGAGCTACACCTTTATTCTAGAGAGCTGTACTTTCAACTATTATATTATACAGTCTCCTCCAAATGAAACAACACCTAATCCAAAGAGTACTAAATAAATGCTTGTTAGCTAAATGAATGACACAGAAAGGGAATCAGTGTACATGGGCTAAAGGAGGGGGAGCTAATAATCAAGAGACAGGAGTTTCTGATGTAGGCATAATGTTAAATTATGTGACTAAGACCTTTTTTATTTGTCTGTAAAGAGGTAGGACCAGTTCAACAATTTATAAATATTGATCTGATAACCAGGATCAAGCTAACTTCATAGAATCTCCTAACAACCTTTTTATAAATGTAACTAAGCTTTCAAAGACTCAGATACAGAAAATATATATAAGGTGAGCTCAAAAATATGCCTCATTAAAAAAAATGACTCGGCAGAAGGATCTCAAGTTCAAAGCCAGTCTCAGCAACTTAGTGAGGTACTTAGCAACTCAGCAAAGACCCCTTCTCTAAGGGCTAGGAATGTGGCTCAGTGGTTAAGTGCCCTTGGGTTCAATCCCTGGTACCAATTTAAAAAAAACAAAACACATTGTGATTCTGATTCATAATCATATTTGCCTAAATTTCTTTAAAGTCCTTTTCAGTCCAAATATCTTCTCATCCTAAGCTTTTCAATGATTCAATTTAACCTGCTATCCAACTCCAGCCTCCTCTTAATATCATCTATGATAGTCAGTAATCAGCCTCTGCATTAACACTTCAATAACAGTACCTAGCTCAAGCCTCAAGAAATGTTGTCTATACACTATTAAAAACAGAGTTTGGGCTGGGGTTGTAACTCACTGGCAGAGCACTTGCCTCACACGTGTGAGGCCCTTGGTTTGATCCTCAGCACCACAGGAAAATAAATAAATAAATAAAAATATTATGTCCATCTACAACAACAACAACAAAAAAAACACACCAAAATTTAAGTGAAAGAAGTTCAAAATTAAAGGCAAGGAGTTCGAGAGAGGAGAAAATTAGATAAGAGTAAGGACAAAATCTGAAAAGCACACAGATAAATTTCTATTCTAAGACTGAAGATTGTCATCTAAGGAAATATGGAAAGGCTCAAGTCTGAGAACGAAATTCAAGCCATGGTTCTTTCATTCTTTAGTGAAAGCTCCCCCCAAGATTCATACAATGATGAGTGACTAAAACAGGCAAAGATTTTGAGAAGTTAACTAGATGTGCATATGGGGAGCAGCAGAAGAAGAATGGTCTACAGAAAGAGATAAAAGAAAGAAGACATCTAAACTACAAGTCTGAATATAGAGAAGTGAAAACAGAGAATGAGGGCAAAGGGAAATTCATGCAGAAGACAAAGTATAAGCTAATTATAGAATCCTTAGAGTTGGGAGTTAAGTAATACGGGTTTGAGAAAATATAGTATAAACTATTCTGGTATAAGTAATTCAATATTAACCTCTTTGTATCTTCATGCTTTAGAAAACTGTATTATATACACATTTCTTTATTTTACTTTACACTTCAATTCTTTTATACCTTGGTCATTTGGCTATACTTCTCTGACTATACTCAGCTACTATTATTATTTAATTTTACTTATTTAAGTTACTCAAATAATTTAAATTATTTAACTGTTTATTTATTTATTTTGAGACTAACAACGTAATTTGACATGATTTTCTAAAAGCCACAGTTCAACAGATAAGAAATTATACTGCTATTTCCCCTTACTATTTCTAGTGTTATTCAACACTAGGACTACAACATTTTTAAATAATGTTTTATTAAGTAATCTACACTGATTCCTACATGCTTTCCTTAGGTAAAAACTAAAATTGGTAATAAATTTTATAAATTTTATAAATTTTATTGCCTATAGATCTCAGAGATTTTGCCAGTTCTTAGTTTCCTGGAGTTTAGATATAAAAACTGGACATTTTTCTATCCACAAGAGCTAAGTATCACTTATTAAAGCTACATTTAATAATTTAAATATAGCTCTCTACAAATGATTTCTTAAAAATCATCAGTATCAGAACTGACTGATATGTGAAGGATTTCAGAATTAACTCTTCATGAGAAAAAAATTATTTTTCCCCTATCATATCATAATTCTAAGATACATAATTTTACTTACTGCCAGTCACAATTCTAAGATACAATAAATAAATTATAAATAATTTTATAACTTATTTCACATATATTTATTAAGTACTTGCTATGTCCTATCTCATAGCCAATTTTCTTTTCTATAATAGTCTAAGCTCATGGAATTTCAATTTTGTGTTAAGAAACTTTTGAAAAACAGATTTGGAAGATGCTAATTTGAGAGCTTACTCTCACTTATAATGATGATTCTATGGGGAAAAAATTACTTGAGAAAGGACTGCATCAGCTTGGAGAATTCAGGACTATCTATTATATTTGCATTAGCTATTTAACTTATTTTAAGGAAGAAACAAGCAGTGTCAAGAATTAGTTTTCCCATTCTACCTCCCCTTCCCTACCCGACTCTTGACTTCAGTAATGATGACTGATGACTCCCAGATATATGAAAATAAAGAAACTGAGCAAAAACTGGATCATGTCTCCACCGTGGAACTCCAAGAGACTTTCACTCTATGTCCTGGATGTCATGGATCTTTATGTGAAGTATATAGATTGGGCAATTGTAATTCAAAACTTTACCCCCCCCCCCATATATTCTATTAATACATAAGGAGTTACTAAGGAAAGAAACTGCTTGAATATTCTAGGCCATTAGCTATTACTAAATAACATATCAAATGCCTCAGAAGATCAGGATTGCAGTGAATCTGCAAATCACTTTGAGTAGTATGAACTTTTAACATGAACTTTCCAGTCCATGAACAAAGGATGTCTTTCTATTTATTTGTGTTGTTTGATTTATCATTAATGTTTTATAGTTTTTCATATACAATCTTTTACGTCCTTTAGTTTATTCCTAGGTATTTTATCTTTTGGGGGGGGGTACTATGAATAAAGCTACTTTCCTAATTTCCCTTTCAAATTAGTGTAGTACACAAAAGTGCAACTGATTTTTGTATATTGATTTTGTATCATGCAACTTTCCTGTATTTGTTTATTAGTACTAAGATTTTCTTTATGGAAACTTCAGGGTTTCAAGATCCCATTGTCTGAGAATATGGTCAATTTTACTTCTTCCTTTCCAAATTGGATTTATTTCCTTCCTTCAAACCACCCTTCCTCCCTTCCTTTCTCCCTCCTTCTCCCCCTTCTTCCCTTCTTTCCTTCTTCTCCCCTCCACTCTTTCTCATTTCCTATATAGCTAGGATTCCTAATACTATCTTAACTAGACATAAGGAAAATGGACATCCTTGCCTTATTCCTGATTTTAAAGGAAAAGCTTAATTAATGTTAGCTATGTGATTTTCATATATGGCCTTTATTATACTGAGGTGTTTTCTTCTATTTCTAGTTTATTGCAAGTTTTTATCATGAAAGAGTGGTGAATTTTGACAATTGCCTTTCCTATGTCTATTGAAACAATCATGTGACTTTTATCCTTTACTCTGTGAATATAGTATATCTTATTAATTGATTTTGCATACCAGTGGGATTTCCTACTTAGCTGTGGTATATGATCCTTTAATATATTGCTGGATTTGGTGTGCTAGTATTTTGTTTAGGATTTCTGCACCTATATTCATAAAGAATATTGGCCTATTGTTTTCCTTTTTTGTGGCATCTTTGTCTGGCTTTGGTATCAGGGTAATGTTGGTCTCATAAAGGGAGTTTTGAAGGGTTTCCTCCTCTTCTAATTTTTAGAAGAGTTTGAGAAAATTGTCCTTAATTATTCTTTAAATGTTTGGTAGAACTTATCAGTGAAGTAAATAATCAAACCAATCTTGAGAAAGTAGTATAAAGCTGGAGGTGTCACATAGCCTGACTTGAAAATCTATTGCCAAACTACAATACTCAAAATGATATTGCACTAGAATAAAGAAAGACATATAGAACATACAAAGGAATATTTTTTAAGCCTTAAAAAAAGAAGGAAATTCTGCAATGTATAACATGGAGTATATTATCTTAAGGAAATAAGTTAGTTACAGAAAGACATACACTGTATGATTTCACTTATATATAGGGTATCAAATTCATAGACCTGAAGAATGAAATAGTGGGGAGGAGAAAATGAAGAGTTACTAATCAACAGGTATAAATTACAGTAAAGCAAGATGAATATGCACTAGAGATCTGCTGTACAATACTGTTTCTATAAGGCAACAATAGTGTATTGCACACTTAAAAATTAGGAGAGATTTCATGTTGTGTTCTTACCTCAAAAAAATAACATGAAAATAGACTTTTAAAAATTAAAGCCTTAAGACTTAAAAATGGCTTACTACAGAGACACAGCCACATCAATGTTTATAGCAGCACAATTCACAATAGCTAAACTGTGGAACCAACCCAGATGCCCCTCAGTTGATGAATGGATTAAAAAATGTGGCATATATACACAATAGAATATTACTCAACAATAAAAGAAAATAAGATCATGGCATTTGCAGGTAAATGTTAAGTGAAGTTAGCCAATCCCAAAAAAACAAATGCCGAATGTTTTCTCTACTAATGTTTTCCATACTAATCAGGGTTTTTTCCTGAAACTTTCACAGATTGCTCACACTAATGTGTCAGCTATCCAGGACAGTGACCAGTATAATTTCACCTTTCAGTTCTTTGAAAATTCCAGAATGGTGGTCACACCTTGGGCATTTCTATATATGGATCTTGTAGTTTTGATCTGAGCTTTGTGACTTGATTTTTGAGTTCTGAAAACCAGGTGGGGTAAACAAATCACAACAGATTTAAAGAAGGATAATAAAAAGTAAATATCCCTTGTTCTTTAATACCAATTACATTAAAAAATTTAGATCTCTACAAGCTAGCATGTTATAAACTCATGAAAAAAATCACCTTTTTCCTGAGAAAGCTTTTCCTCTTGGCGTTGGTGATGAGGTTTATAAGGTGCTGCCCCCTGACTGAGTCCTTCAGCCACAAAACCATCGAGAAAAGATAAGGAAGCATCTACCTACATAAAAATTTAGTCAAAATTAGGAATTACAAAATTTACTCTAAACAGTATATTGACATAAATAATTTTAGCACATCCTAAAAATATTTAAGCTAAAAACAGAAGCTTTAATTCTAAAAATGCTACCCAATTCTCTCACTTTCTGAAATATATCATCAGATCACCTAGCTATGAATCAACTTAAAACATTTGCAGTTATTATCAATTTTACTGCATAGCAGAATATTTTTGAATATCTAATATGTATAATATCTAATATGTATAATATCAACTGCTATGATTAAGACAAAGGAAGACAGAGTTTCAAACCTTCAGAGGATCTATATCCTATAAGAAGAGACAGACATCCCTGGTATGAGTTAGAGTAACTGCCAGGGACTAAAATCAATAGTGTTGGCAGAGCCTTCTGGATCCTCCAGGGGAGAATCCATTCCTTGTCTCTCTGAGTTTTTCTCTAGACTGCCTGTATTCCTTGGCTTGAGGCCACATCGTTCCAATATTTGCTTCTATTACTACTTTGCCTTCTCTAACCCTTGTGATTACATTACAACATGACTACCTCAATAACCTAGGATAACCTTCCTGTCACAAAATACTTAATTTTATAACATTCACAACATTTTAACAATTAAGGTAAGATATATAGTTTCCTAGGATTAAAACATGAACTTCATTGGGGGCCTTTAATCAGTCTCCCCACAGTGAAGAAATTTTAAAGATGACCAAAGTGAAGGTAAAGGGATGAGAAAAAGAATTGACAGAAATAACCACTGATTTGCTTCTCCTGACTTAAAGCTTAATGTACAAGTGGCACCTCACACTCTGAATTTGGAAAGGTTTAGTTTCACTGAAATTCTTCAGAGATGGGGGTGTTGTTATCTTTTATTGGGGGAAAAGAAAAGTGTAGCTACACATAATGAAATACTATGGATAGCATATTCATTCATCATTTAATGAGAGTATCTAGAATGCCTAATAAATGCTAAAGAAAGGCCTTTGTTTTTCAGATGCTATGGAAAAACATTAAAAATGTTCAAAATTAAAATGATATAAAAACCTGAGTCAAAATTAGTGGGAATATTAGTGAGGATAGGCATATCCTCTTCTCTTTCTCAATTATATGACAGCTAATGCACCAAAACTTAACAAATCTGGCTTCCTTTTAGAAATTTTCTGCTTTATACCAATCTGAAGGAAGGGATAATATGAATTAAGAAGGTGAACAGTAACTGACAACTAGAGATTGAAAGGTGTGGCAGGTCAAAGTAGATGAGAAAAGTAAAGGTGATCAGGTTCCAAAGCAGTATTTAGATAGGAAATGAACAAAATGAAATTAAGAATCACTTTTTCTTTTTTTTTTAATAATCTCAAAGAAAAGAGCATGACTAAAATGACCTATAGAATTTCAAAGGAGATAAAAATAAAGGAAATTCATGAAATATTATATATTAGAAGAGTCTGTCACAGGATATAAATATTTTTACTACCATTCTTCAGAAGAGATACTCTTTTCTTCCTGACAATTTAGAATCTACACTAAATGGAAGTTCTCAAATTCTCTCCCCTACTAATGTGAGAAAACTACAACCTTCATTCTGAATGCTACAGAAAATTATATTTTGATATATTCCATATATATATATATAAATATATATATATATATCTCACAAATGCAAAAATTACTGTTTAGACAACACAATTTTTAAAAGATCAAACACAGATGTCTTACCACCATTTCTTCACAACTCTTATCAACTGGAAACAAACTCTTCATAAGTTCTATATTTTCATGCAAATATTTTAATTCAAATGCATGCTGTCTCATACAAGTATCCAAAGATATGGTAAATTCCTGGATTAACCTCTCAACTAGATTAGAAGAATGTGCTTGGGGTGTCAACTTGATCACAGCAGCAAACAGCCAGGCTTTTGTTTCTGAAGAAATGGAGTCATTCATAAGTAACTTGTAAAGCCTAGTTATAACATCCTCTGGCTTTTCCTTTTCTAAGAGGTAGGAATACTCTCCTAACACCTATGGATAAAACAAAGATTACATACACAGATACCAAGTTATACAGTAATACACATGCAGGAACCTAAAACAAAGTGAATTTAATCTAGATTAAACATACTTTCATGGTGAAAGAATTACTAAAGAAACCATTGTAGTTTTTCGGTTCAAAATTTTTAAAAATACCAAGAATTATATGCTCAATACAAAAGAACTGAACTCAATACAAAAATATTTTCCACATCCTTGTCATTAACAATATATAAGATACTTTTGTAACATGATTTTCTTCTGAACTTTCAGAGTTAGTCGCCAGTTTCTACAAGCACTTTCCTATAAAAATTTAAATCAGTGGTTCTTACATACTAATATGCATGAGAGTCACCTGAGATATTTCATAAAATACAGATTCCCAGTCTATCCTCAGATATTCTAATTTAGAATGGCTGTGGTGAGGATCAAGGGTATATATTCGGACAAGTATTGGCAATTTTGATATAGATGGTCCACAGAACAGACTTTGAGGAACACTGATCTATGTTACATATCCTTTTTCTTTTCTTACATCTAACTTACTCAGGTGACACTGTTATATGAACCACAAAATGATAATTCAGGGAATAAAAGATCTTTCCTAAATGATATTTTGGAACTTTTTGGTTTTGGTACCAGGGATTGAACCCAGGGGCACCTTTACTACTGAACCATATCCCCATCCCTTTTTATTTTATTTTAAGACAGGTTCTCATTAAGTTGCTTAGTGCCTCACTAAATTGCTGAGGCTGGCTTTGAACTTGCAATACTCTGCCTCAGCTACTCAAGTCACTAGGATTATAGGCATGGGCCACTGAGCTCAGTTCTTCAAATTTCTAAAGAAAAATTAACAGCAATTCTACACATTTTATACACCTTAATACCAAAACCAAATAGAATACCAAAAAAGAATATAGAAAACAACAGACTAATATACCTCATAAACATAGATACAAAAATTCTAACAAGCTCTCAAAGAATCTATAATTTAAAAAACTGCTAGAACACTAAACGAGTGCAACCAAAAGATCAAAATATGAAAAATCTGTATATATCAGCAACAAACACATGGAAACCAAAATTTAAAATATCATACATTTAAAAGTGCTCTAAAGAAAATGAACCAAATGTAGAAACATGTATAAGAATTACATGGTATAAGAAGAAATTAGACAATCTAAATAAAGTGACATGCTATGTTCATGGAGGAAAAAAAAATTAATGATCACCAAATATATTCATTAATTCAAGGATTATGAGTAAAATAAATAAGATCCATTATCCTGTATAATTAATCTCATTCTTAAGAAACTCATATAGAATTTTTAGAAGTAAACTGTCATGCTATCTGCAATTCAATTTTTTTAATTTTTTTATTTGTTCTTTTTAGTTGTACATGACAGTGGAATGACATATCATACATACATGGAGTATAATTTCCCATTTTTGTGGTTGTACATGATGTGGAGTTACACTGGTCATGTATTTATATATGAACATAGGAAAGTTATGTCTAATTCATTCTACTGTCTTTCCTATTCCCATTCCCCCTACCTTCTCCCCACTGCCCTCTGTCCAATCTGGTAAACCTCCATCCCCCCTCCCCACATTGTGAGTCAGCATACATACATCAGAGAGAACATCTGACCTTTAGTTTGGGGGGATTGGCTTATTTCACTTAGCATGACAGTCTCTAGTTCCATCCATTTACTAGCAAATGCCATAATTTTGTTCTTCTTTATGGCTAATATTCCATTGTGTATATGTACCATAGTTCCTTTATCCATTCATCTGTTGAAGGGTACCTAGGTTGGTTCCATAGCCTAGCTATTGTGAATCAAGCAACACTGATGTGGCCACATCACTATAATATGCTGATTTTAAGTCTTTGGGTATATACCGAGGAGTAGGATAACTGAGTCAAATGATGGTTCCATTCCAATTTTTCTAAGGTATCTCCATACTGCTTTCCAGAGTGGTTGCACCAATTTGCATTCCCACCTGCCAACGTATAAGTGTACCTTTTCCCTCACATTCTTACCAACATTCATTGTTACTTGTACTCTTGATACCTGCCATTCTGACTGAAGTGAGATAAAATCTCAGTGTAATTTTAATTTGCATTTCTCTAAGGCAATTCAATTTTAAATGGCTCAGTAAACACACTGTATACAGGCAGACTGACCTAGATATAAAAATAGATGCAGTTGTAGTAAAGCAAATATAGTTAAGAACGTTAACTGGGAAGCTAAATTTCAACTTTCCCACAGATGAGAAAATAAACTATGATATTATAAATCTGTGGGTGTTTTTTAAATTTTATTTTATTGTTTCTTCTTAGTAATACATAACAGTAGAATAAAGAAAGAAAGAATGACTTTACAACATTCGCCAGTAAATGGAGAAAATCATGCTAAGCGAAATAAGGCAATCCCAAAAAAACCAAAGGTTGAATAAATCTGTTTTTATAAACCACTAAATTTGTGGTAACATTGTTATATAGTTACAGAAAGCTAATATATAAAAGATATGTAAGTATTCACATATTCAAAAAACATACTGTTTACATAAAAAACATACTGTAAACACAGATATTTCAACAACCACCATATTTAGAAGACCAAACAAGTAAGATGGCAGAGAGAAAGAAGAGATAAATAAATAGTTAACTGATAGATGGTAACTTGGGAAAAAAAAAAAAGATATCTGAAGCAATTAGCTGAGTAGAACTGAATGATTTCTGGGGGAAAATATGGTAATATTTGGTTTTTATAAAAATGTATTATATAACGTAAATTGCTCACCCAACTCATAACTTGAAGAAATCTCTGTGGATAAAATGCATTTTCCATATCTAGTAAAGTAAGATAAGACTGAACTGCATAAAGCCTCAAGTGCTGATCTTCTGTTTCATCATCAAAACCTACAAAGAAATTGATATACCATTTTAATTTCCACTAAATTCCCTAATGACTCTGTAATGAAAAACATTTAATTTTAAAATCTTTATCAACCTTCTGCTAGCAGTCTCAGGAAGTTATTGGGAATATCAGGATGCATTACATCTCCTCCCACTGAAAACACAGCATTCATTGTTTGAATAAACCATGCATTATCAGGAGCATATGTGTCCACAGTGTTAAGAACAAGTATACTTTCAAACTGAAATTATCTTTCTGTAGCAATCTTTTTTACCAGAAACAAAAACAAACAAACAAAAGACCAGTTTATCTTTATCTTTAACCTCTGCTATAAATGTTCTATGTCCCAACTTTTATGTAAAATGTCTGCTCAATAAAGTCTATTTAATAAACTGCATTTATTTTATCTAGCACTAGGCTTACACATAATAGGTACTCAATAAGTAAATGAAAGAAATGAACTAGCTAACTAGGAACAAATAAATAAAGGAAAGTCATGCACACTTCAGAGAGGTTAAATGTTGTGAAGTGTCTACTTGAATAATTTATTTAACTTCTTTTCTAATATGTTCCTCATCAGTTCTAAAATTCTAGCATTCTGCTGCTGGCCAGTGCTATATCACTGTCTGTATTAAACTACACTTAAACAACTTCCAAGATAATTTAATTAGCATTATTCATTATTTCTCCCTTAGAATAACAGATATCTTTAAAAGAATGCAATATCCTCATGACTTACAAAGTTCCTCTGACTTTTAAAAAAGGATTGGAAAAAAAAAAGTAAATTATGAGTTTTCAACTACTTTATTGTGACAATTCCCAATGTAAACAGTACCATAAAAATGCATTTTAGAATCCTGACCCTCCACTTTATCCTCTCCTAACCCAAAACAAGAACTTTTACTTAGAAAAAGAAGCTCAGTAAAAAGTCAAAGATAAGACTGAATGATAAATCATCATGAGAGAAAGAGAGAGAATGAGAAGAGACAGAGAGAAAGAAAAAGAAAAACAAGGGAAAAGAGAGAGAAAGAACAAACATACAAACGAATGAACAAACGAGATAGTGGCTCCTATGTTTTCCTGCTCAAAATACTAACCACCTAAATAAAAGAAACCAGGGAAAAAGCCATCCTCCAAGAAGTCTACATAAATTCCTAACTAGACAATGACAGACTTAAGCATCAAGAATGCAAGTTATTGGTGGGTGTCTGACCTCAACTTGCCAAAATCATATATATACCGATCATTTTAAAGTTACTTTATAACTAAAGGTATTTTATGACTCCTGATCCAAACAAAGGATATTTCTCAGCCAGCTCAGCTATTTTGCCAACCAAATTGACAATGATATACTCTTCTTTGCTTTGATGTAAATATTCAAGCATCTTCTGGACAATAACTGTTACATTCTGTGCATTTGTAATTCTGTAAAGAAGTTCCAGAGTCTATTTAAGGAAGAGAAATAAAAACAATATTACAAAACTATGCATGATAACATTAATAAACATAATATTTTTTATTAAATAGTTGATTATTCCACTTTTATATAGATCTACTATTGACAATCAGTTAACAGATGATCAAGAAATACAAATTTTAACTAAAAAAAAAGCTTAAGTAAAAATTAGCTGGGTGTGGTGGCACATGCCTCAACTCCCAACTACTTGGAAGGCTGAGGCTGAGTTGCATATTTGAGGTCAGCCTGGGCAACTTATCAAGAGCTTGCCTCAAAAATCAAATAATATGTTTTGAACAACCAATAAAAAAAAAAAAGAAAAAAAATCAAATAATAAAAGAGTGATGGGGAGCAGGGGGATGCAACTCAGTGAGTGTGTTTGCCTGGCATGCATAAGGTCCTAGCTCAATTCCCAGTACTACCAAAAAAAAAAGTAAAATTATATTGTCAAAAAGTAAACTGTGATCAATCTCAAAATGTAAATATTTTCTATTGAGATAATTGAGATATGACATTTCTATGATAGAAAATGCAAAAACTAAAAAGTTAAAAGGTTTGTAATATATTTTCTAAAACTGTAACAGCTCTTAAATGTTAAATGTACATTACTTATGTATATGGTTGTATGCGTAGGCACACATGTATCTATAGAGTGTGTGTGTGTGTGTGTGTGTTTATAAATTCAGTGTCACAAACTATTCAGCACTACTCAAACAACAAAAAACAGCACTTAAATGCATTTGGCAGTTGAGGGCAAACGGTCTCTAATGGATAGACAAAGACTGATAGTTCAACTGGTTCAAATGTAGCAAGGCTTACATTCAGAATCTCAAATACAAAGGAAGAATTTTTTTATTTTATTGGTGGGATTCATTATGGTGTATTAATATATGTACATAGGAAAATTATTTTGGATTCATTCCATTGTCTTTCCTTTTCCTGTCCCCCCCCTCTTCCCTTCATTCCCCTTTGTCTAATCTATTGAATATCTATTCTTCCCCACTCCCCTCTTATTGTGAGTTAGCGTCCACATATCAGCAAAAACATTAACCTTTAGCTTTTGGGGATTGGCTTATTTCATTTAACATGATAGTCTTGAGAACACCCGTTTATTTGCAAATGTCATTCTAAAGAAGAACTATATCCCATTTGGCTAGCTTTCTAAGTCCCTAAATTAAGATTCTAAAACATAACTCCCAGAAATCAGTGAGTCCAATCAATATGTCCAAAGGCAATACTGAGAAAGCATCATTTCCTGGTGTTTTAGGGCCAAAAATATTATCTACAAAAGAATTTCCATCTATCCTAGTTATCAAACATGTTAAAATATCTTTAGGGCTCTTTCTGATTTTTCAATCCTTACAGCCAGGATTTCTAGTACAAATGATAATACATTTTGAAATGTATTCTAAGTTGTTTTAGTTAATGCCTAATTCCATTTAAAATCTATAAACATATAGTTCTCCATTATCAATAGCTCTCACTCTATTAAACTGTTTCAGATATGCTCTCTGTGGATTCCAAACTGTATGTTTTATGTTATTAAATAATCTACACTTAATTTCTTTTTTACTCTAAGACTTTAATTTGGCATTTCCAATCTGGAAAGGAGTACTATGTGAGAAATTATATGGCTGGAGGTTTTTTTCTGTTTATCCTTGATAACTCATTCTTGCCTTTTTTCTCCCTATGGGAAGAAAAATAATAAAACCATGTGAAAAGGAATCCCTTCTCATATAACAGATCACTCCATACCCAAAAAACAAAGCTCTTGCCATGTCACTATTAACAGAAGTTAAAAGTAACAAAGGCATTGTGAAGAAAGTACAACAATACCCTCTGTGGGTAACCACTGATACTCAATATCTTCTCCAAAGAATTTGAACTACTCTCCTCACTGCAAGCAATTGATCAAACAGATTAGACCTGGTAATTTTGAAAGTTGCCTATTTTCTAAGTCTCATTTCTAAATGAGAGTCCAATAATTGCATATATTAATAAGAAAACTATAAGTCAGCCCTGTTCAACTAAACCCCATTAGTAGTTAATTACACAAAGAAAACACATGTTGTATATCTGGTATAGCAGAAGGACTGTATAATTATTTTTTTATTTTGTTGTCCCTGGAGCCTTTTCATTTTTCTACAATGCCTGCAAGCAGAAATTTGTACATCTGCAAACTTCCCAGATTCATTCAAGGGAGGTGACAGGTAACAATTTTCAGATGACTAAAAATATGAATATGCCAGGCACGATGGCACACACCTGTAATCCCAGAGGCTCAGGAGACTGAGGCAGTAGGATAATGACTTCAAAGCCAGCCTCTGTAAAAAGTGAGATGCTAAGCAACTCAGTGAAACCTTGTTTCTAAATAAAATACAAAATAGAACTGGGGATGTGGCTCAGTGGTTGAGTGCCCCTGAGTTCAATACTTGCTACCCTCCCCCCAAAAAAAGAATAAATATATTTGTTTCACATGTTAATATATACTTATGTACGAATAAGAGGGTAAACTTCTCAATATTTTTGTTTCAAAATGGCTTTTAAAATTAAAAATTCATAATTTTTTAAAATTACAATTGTTAAGTACAATATAGTATTCATCTAATAAGCTCTATTGTTATCTTGAGAGATAACAATAGAGCTTATTAGATGAAAGTTTAGTATATTCTATTTTTTTAACCTTTATTATTTTTAAGATCAAAATAAAACTTTGCATTCTTAACTCTTTTGTGGAGTTAAATAGCCTTTTAAATGAAGACACTCTTTGAAATGAAGCTACAGAGTGATTTCTCTACATGAGAATTAATAGAAATATTTATACTGACACCCAATGGAACACTGAAATAATTTTACAAAAGGAAAGAGTTGAAACAGAACTAAGTACATAAACATTTATTCCCAGATGTGGAAGCTAGAGAGAAAAAAGCGGGGGGGGAACAATCTCATGAAAACAGAAGGGAGACCAGTCGGGTAGAGGAAAGAGACTAGAGGAGGGTAAGGGGAATAAAACTGATGAAATTATGCTGTAAGAATGTATCATTAGGCCATAATGAATCCCACTATTATGTAAAACTATTACACATTTAGTTCTGAAGAAACAAAACTAAGTACAAAATTATACCTTTTCTTCCAAGAAGTTCAAATCATTTTATGGATATCTTCATTCTTTCAATATTCTTATCTAAGTGAATTCACTAACTCATTTTACAGAAGTAAAAGAAAATAATGGAAAAATATTAACCATCATAAATTATAACTTATGTAATAGGAATACATCTTATATTGTAACCATAAGACCTAGGACTAGAATTCAGGTCTCTATTGGTATAATGCTTAAGCCAAAAAGATATTAATGAACCCATACAGATAATTAGAACTAACCTCTCCAACTCATTAATTTAAAAACATTCCTACAGACATTGATGATACTTTTTTAAAATGTTCCTTACATTTCAGTAGAATATATACAAAAGTTAAAATACATAAAATACACACACTACCCACTACTTTAATCTCTCTCCAAAATACCAACAAAGAGTTTTAAAATTTTAACACTTCAAGTGCATTATTCAAAATACCCGTTTACCTCTCTCTTAATAATGGGATCAGGATGGTCTAAGCATTCAATTATTGTCATCTGGTGCTGAAGAGCCAGAGTAGGATCCTGTTGAATAACATAGGTAAGAGCCTTCAGTCCTAGAAACAAAAATTACATTACATGAAGTGACTTCAAACAAGTATCCAGAAAATTTCAAAAGTTCTCTATAACTTCCATCAAAAGAATCAATTACCTTACCTAAATATTTAAGATTGATTTTAGGGGAGAGAACAAATTTTCCAATGCACTTAGCAGCCTTCTCAAGTAATTCTGACTTAGGATAAATAGAATAGACTGTATGTACGCATTCAAACAGAATAGCTAGAGAAAGAAAACATAAAAATGGAAGATATATTAGGTACAATACATGAACATATTTGTGTAGAACTTGTAATAAAAAAACTAACTGAAAATTCAGCTTTAGTCAAAAATTTTTTTATGGAACAATTTCAAAGAAAGTACCTTTACTATTTCCAGGCTTATAGAGTTCTTAGGATTAAGTTATTATAGTACAATTTAAAGAAAATTACATTACTAATGATAAGAATGATACATTCATTCATGCAACAAATATTTACTGAACATCTCCTATGTGCCAGACATGGTATTAGTACTATGAATACAGCAGTGAACAAAACAGAGAAGAAAAACCCCTATCCTCAAGAAGTTCATATTGTAATAGGCACTTAAGTAATATATTCATAACTGGTATATAAATAGATCTTTCCAACACTCATTGACTACTTTAAAAATAGTTTATTCACATGTAGTTTCTACCACACACACAGAAATTGCATCTGTAGTTTATTTCAATATAATCATTTTAGGGTACTCTAACATTGACAAAGATAGGGTCACTATTTTAAAATGTTCAGGCTACTTTAAAATTAACTTCAAATATGTAGAACAGTCTAGTATACATCTTGATACTGTCAAAATTTAATTTCCCGATACAGTCATTAGTCTACAGTCATCAAAGTGGACACTAAGATGTTTTCAAATTCTTTTATTTTTTTAATTTTTAATTTTTTTATTTTTTAGGTGTAGATGGACACAACACAATGCCTTTATTTTTTTTTATGTGGTGCTGAGGATCGAACCCGGGTCCCGCTCGTGCTAGGCAAGCTCTACCACTGAGCCACAATCCCAGCCCCTCAAATTCTTTTAAATGTGAGTTGACAAGTTGGAGTTTTGCAATGGAGAAGAATCACTGAGACATCATTAAGTCCCGTAAGTACCATGGAATCATAGTATCAGAAATGATACACAGAGAAGGCACAGAATCAGCCAACTTGAAAATAGTTGTACCACAAACTGAAGATATCAAGTGTCAACAGAATTACTCTTTATTTCTAAAAGCTTAAAAAATAACAATCAGATACTTTCTTCATGTATAAGATACATTATGAGTATTCAACTTGCTATGTTTTATATTATGTTGACTATCAATTCATACAGAAATTTTACCAAAAAAAATACATACTCTATTCCATAGAGGAAAAAATGAGGATTTGAATTATTCTTTATCAAGGACTCTAACATAAATACTATACAGTAAGTTAAATAAACTTAAAGATACTTTGCATATTCAGAGGATGTACTTTATTCTGCATGGGAGGGGGGAGAGATGACTTTGATTTTGTGAACTAAATAAAATAGACAAAGAGGACTTTGATTAATCCACTAACTACCTAAGTCAGGAACGGGCAAACGTACACAATTCAGCCTTCAGTCTATTTTTATAAACCTAAGAACTAAAAATTATTTACATATTATTAAAATATTGTATTAAAAGAAAACCCAAAAAGAATATACAATAGAAACCTATGTGACCTGCCTGAAATATTTACTGTCCTAGTCTCCCGTGTTAAAAAAAAATTAAAAATTGCCAAAACCTGAACTGTCATGGCAGCCCTAAGTAAGGTTAAAAATGACAATAATCTGTTTTCCATTATAACTAACAAATTTTTCTTTGCAGTCACCTGCTATTGAGAACTCTCCTAAGTATCAAATATGTTTTACTAATTAAAACATGTCATTACCTACCTAAAATCCAAACTCTCATATATAGAGATGCTCATAAGATTTCTTAGATGCTAGGAAAAATTAATAGTTCAAAAATTATAGATATTATTAGTCTCCCCAGGCATAATTGGGTTGAAAATCAATTCAATGGACTTTTAAACTATTTTCCTACCTACAGCTAAGTCCATAATTGAAAGAGCGGCTACTTGCTATCTCCTCTTTGCAGTGGTTAAAAAATGAATGTGCTTCTAAGGATTTCTAAACTTAAAAACACATCATAGAACTTTGTTTACTCTTCAGTTGTAACCCAGGTCCTAATTCAAATACCAAGTAAAATTTACTAAATTAAAAATAATGTTCTAACATTCACAATACTAATTTTATCAGTGATATTTTGGGTTGGATTATATTCAGACAAAATTTGAAGTTTTTCTGGTACTTTATCCTTCAGACTGGACTGCACTTTCACTTTAAATCTCTATCTACTAATACCATTCCGGCAGGGGAGAGTGAGGAACTGCCCAACATGAGTGGAAGTCTAAGTTCTCCACTCTGCCTCCTTTGACATGTGGAGAAGGAGATACTCCTTGTCATACTGGGTAAGAGGGTTATCTGCTCATATCACCTGCCTATGAGAAGGGGTGCCTCATTATTACTCCCAATAAGGACTCCACTAATACTGAGAGGGGGTTAACTTCATCGTCAGTGATCAGTGGTGAAAGCCCTGACTCCATCAGGCTTCTTTTAACATAACCCCAGCAGACAGAGTACTGGGTGGATATGAAATCCAGCATTGCCATACTGCTTCCACTCAAAATGCAGGAGATTGGGGCCTTAATCCCTGCCTAACAGGAGTAAAATTCTAGCTTCCTTCTAGGGTTCCTCTACCACCACCTAATAGGGAGAGTCGGAGGTTGGGGTACCTCATTCTAACTGGTGAGAATGGAAATCTTGGGTCTCCACTTGACTTTCACTGGTTGGCAGTCACTTTTTTCTGTGTAATACTTGGCTAGAATAGAACATTTATTGTCGGCAAGTTTTCTGTCTTGCTAGTTTTGGCCTTTTCTTCTTGGTTGTTTGGGATTTTTTCCTGTGCTTATTGGTATTTCCAGATTGCTGGCTCTCCAGTACCCAGTAGAGGTATTGAAGCAAAAAGAAAACCCAGAATATTCAACACTGTGTCTTTCCTTGTGCTTCAAGGTTCCCAACCAGCCTGACATTTTTTCTCCATCTTCCTGAGTCATATTTTTCTTACATTATTAATATCCAGGTTTTCAGGTAAAGTCAGTGGGAAAAAAAAAAACAGGGGAAAGTGCTTAATATCTACTTTTGATGGCTCTGTCCCTTATACTTCATTGTATATATTTCTCCCAAATTACAAGTTTCCAAAAACTGCCATTCTCATTTCAGCATCACTCTGCCCCAAATTTCTCATAGCTCCAGATTTATAAGTCCAAACTTATTTGGCTGCCAAGAGAGGAACTTCACAATATCGGCTTTCCACTGCTCCCCACCATGGTCATTATTCAGAATGCTGTTCTCTGAAACGGTATTGAACATCCCCAGTTCTATACCTTCTCAAATGTCCCTCTGCCTAGAAGTCCCTTCAACCTCCCTTTTGCCTATCTAAATCCCACCAACTTTTCAGGATCCTACCAAATCTACTAATGTTCATCTTTGCCCTCAAGCCCATAGTGATCTCTACCACCTATGAACTGCTATAATATTTATTCCCTGTATCACCCCTTCACTTTTTGCCTAATACTGGTATATACTTTCATGAATAAGCTATCTTTTCCATTATACTATAAATTCCTTAAAAAAAACTACAGCTTATACCTCTTCATATCTTCTATACCACTTTATACAATGCCTGGCACACAGCAGATACCCAATAAATGTCTTTGATATACTTTATTTCTTGATTTGACACTAAGATAAGTTATAATAATGGAACTTCTATAAAAATATAGTTTAGAAAGTACTGAAACTGAAACCCAATTAGATAAGTAATTAACTTTCTCTTCCTCTAAATAAAGCATATTAATCATTGATTAACCCAGTGCCAAATACTGGAATATGCTGGTCAATTAGACAGACATAATCCCTGCCTTATGAAGCTTATAATTTAAGCTTAAATTAAAATCACATTTTTTAAACAATACTTAAATTAGATTATTAGATAATACTCTACCAGTGATGCAATCAATGTAAGCTATAAACTATCAATACAAATATGGGGAAAACATAACAATGAAAAGCTAAAGAAAATAAAACAACAGAAACTCTAAGGTCTTGGTGGGAAGGTTAAACACTGAACCAACAACCTATAAATATAAAAATTGTTGGTGTTGGACCAAGCAAAAGAAACAAAAGGGTCTTAGTGGAGAACAATAAAAAATATTTCCTCAGGTATACAGTATTCTCCAAGTCAAAAGGAATAGATAACAGTAATTATCTCCAGGAAGGGGAACTGGGTGGTGGATGATAAGGGTAGGAAAGAGACTTACTGTTCATTGTATACCCTTTTGTATCTTTTGAATTTTGAACCATGTGCATATATTACCTATTCAAAAAATAAAAAAATTAAAACTGAAATGTCAATTATATATATATAATTTTAAACTTTCTGCCAAAAAAAAAGCAGAGTCTAAACTAATTTTTTTTTTTTTTTTAGTTGTTGATAGACCTTTATTTATTTGTATGTGGTGCTGAGAATCAAACCCTTTGCCTCACACATGCCAGGCAAGTGCACTACCACTGAGCTCCAACCCCAGCCCTCTAAACTAACTTTTAAACAAAATTCTTTAAGAGTCTTTCAAACCCTATCCTGGACACTGATTACATCACAGACAAAACATTTCCATTTACTTCAGCTGGCTGGAAAGAAGTTGACCCTTTGTTGAATCTTCTGACACCTCTTGACTGAATCATCTGCCTCAGTAAGGGTCATCCTCATCTGCATCCCCTTATTCTTATTGTATAGCTAGAACCTAGATAATATCATCAATTCATTATAACATGCACTCATAAGGGGAGAACTGTGTCTACTGTATTCTTCCTTTATCTCCTACACCTAACACAGAGGAAGACATAGTCCCAACAACTCTCTCCTCAATCTATACCCTGTTTAAAACAAATATCAAATTTTAATTGCACAGGTCTTCAAATAAATACAGGTTGAACAAATGAATAAAGTACTCATATTGCCTTAATTACCATTTGTACATACAAAATATAAATCTCTCCTTCAAAATTTACTATTCCAACCAAGGGCAGTTGCACAGGCCTATAATCCCACCTACTAGGGAAAGTGGGGCAAAGGGATCTCAACTTTGAGATCAGCCGGTTTAACTTAGCAAGACCTTGCATCAAATTAAAAAAATAAATAAAATAAAAATAAAAAATAAATAAAATGTAAAATGCCCTGGGTTCAATCCCCAGAACCAGGGGGGGGAAAAAAACAATATACACACACATATACAACTATTCCAATTCACTATCATATTCGTTATTTTTCTGAATTAGTCTCAGAATCCTTTCTCCTTATAATACTTGTCAACAACTTTTTCTCGGGGGGTAGAGAGGGTACCAGGGATTGATTTCAGGGGCACTTGACCACTAAGCCACATCCCCAGCCCTATTTTGAATTTTTTTAGAAACAGGGTCTCACTGAGTTGCTTAGCACCTTGCTTTTGCTGAGGATGGCTTTGAACTCACAATCCTCCTGCCTCACAAGTAATGCTGCTAACCTGCTACTTCATGGTACAGTAGGTCCTCTGTACCCACATGTTCCACATCTATGAGTTCTACATCTACAGATTCAACCAGCTGCAGATCAAAAACATTTAAAAATAAAAATCTGAATCTGTACTGAACATATAAGGGTGTTTTTTTTTGCCATTATTCCCCAAACAATATAGTATAACAACTATTTACATAGCATTTACATTCTATTAGGTATTATAGGTAATTTAGAGATGATTTAAAGTATGTGAGAACATGCGCAAAAGTTACCTACAAACATCATGCTACTTTTGGTAATGGACTTGAGCATCCAGGAAGCTCAGCTGGGGTTGGGTTGGGGCTGGGGTAAGTGGGCCATGGGTGGGGAATCCTGGAATCAATTCCTTCTAGATGCAGAGAAACAACTTTATTTTACCAGATTAAAAATATATTCTCATTTGAGATATTATCTCTCAGTGCCCCTTCTACTGATCTCCTCTAAAGCACACAAAATTTAAACAGCTTTTTTTCCATTTTTAAACAGCTACAAGAATCTAAATTTCTTCACTGATCTTTCACAGATGGGTCAAAAAAGAATAGTTCCTCTCTCTGGCTGAATGTTTCTTGGTTACTTTCTCGGTTTTCTACCCTTCTCCTCCAACTTACCTTTTGAAGTCAAATATAACATTTATTGCCACAAAATAACATTATTACTCTACAGCTACGTATTTTTATCTATATCCTACTCATCCTACAGATGTCTTCTTAAGCACCACTTCTCAGGAAAACCTTCCTATTCTCCTACTTGTCAAGACTAGCTGCTATATTCTACCAGAATACCAAGTAAGTCTCTCCTGTAACATTTTACAACACCTTTCCATTCCCATCTATGTAGTCTGTAAGCCCCATGATAATACTGTTTTATTCACGGCTGTATTCCAAGCACCTTTATGGGGCCTGACAAATAACAGAAATTTAATTACTTGACGAGTAATTGACTACTTAAAAACTTTATTCAAATATAAACTTTCACAAAACATGCAACAGACTTATAGTTATCCCTGCAATCAATTAGATATTTGATTAATGTTTTCAATGAAAACACAAAGGTCCATATTTAGAAAATGCCAAAATTTCAAATTATTGCTATTTACTTATTTAAATAAGTAAATTTTATTTTTTATTTTAAATAAATAAGTAAAATTTATTACTTATTTAAACCCAAAGAAGTACCATAAAAGTAATGCAAAAAATTTTACTGGAATTTATAGTTTATTAATCACAGATTTAGCTATAGTATAAAAAAACACCATTAGTCATTAAAATAACATATACATACGTTACCTACCATAAGTGACATTGTGATTTAACTCAGCTCTTCGTAAGGATTCATCAAGAACATCATACATTAATTCACTTGTCCTGTTTAAAAGACATTTTATTTGCAGTAGAATTATAGTATTCTAAACCAATAAAACATAGTTTTTCAAACTTCTCTCTTTAAAACTGAGGATCTACAGAAGAGAAGTGAAAGAAATTCATTTTATGGTGAAGTTATACAAATTTCACTTCCAAAAGATTTCATTTGCTCTTTTCACGAGTAGAACTTCCACTTTATCAAAGTTGACTAATAAGTCAATGAAGAGATATATGTATAAATTAATCAACTCTTTCTTCACCTATTCTATGTTGACAAACTAGGTTACTTGATCAAACACATTATCTTTTACATTTCCTTTGCAACACAATATTTCCACCTGTTTTAAATTTCTATAGTAATACCTGATATATCCAGATAATTCTAGATAGTCTATTATCTGTTTTTTAATCAATTTGTCATTTTTAAAATATCCAAATACTAGTCTTTCCCTTAACAGCAATAAGGTTCTCTAGTGAGAAAATTTTTAACTTTCATTTATATTAAAAATAAAGATATGTTTTGTAAAATTAACAGATTTGTACCACTCACGTTTCTCTGTGATTATTGATTACAGTAACCATAATTGAGTTGAGACAGATTATTAAAAATAAATTAAAATGCAATGCCTATGAAATCCTAGCACTCTGACACCAAGTCTCCAGGAGAAAAGTTCTTGCTAAGAGACCAATGTGAAAACTATTGCCTCTGAGCTGGTATTTTTGTATGTTTTACAAATTAGAAAAACACTAATGTGGGCAAAAAACAGTGAGCACATGTTACATACAGTGGTCTTGCTGAGAAACCAAGCTATAAAACAAACAAAAATCAAAGTAACCTAGGGCTATATGTATTAGATGTCATGAATATTTTACATTTTCCTTCAAAAATTTGTCTTCTCATTCCAAATACAGAGCTATAAAATTTAATTTTAAGTACATGTATTTTCATTCCATCTTAACATATATATATCCAATAATAAGAATATAGAACCATATTCTAAAATCTCTCATTTTATTATACAAACGTTCCACAACAACAGGTATTACCAATCTTCATCCATGAAGAAAAGAAGATAATGACTTAAGGAATTAGTAAATAAATTCATTAAATGCCTCCTAACAATATATGATGGCATAAGTTTCTTTTATACCAATAAAATATAATGCTCTCAAAAAAACTAAAATGTAGCCAGGTACGGGTGGTACATTCCTGTAATCCCAGTGGCTTGGGAGGCTGAGATAGGAGGATCACAAATTCAAAGACAGCTTCAGCAATGGCAAGGTGCTAAGCAACTCAGTGAGACCCTATCTCTAAATAAAACACAAAAGAGGGCTGGGGATATGGCTCCATGGTTCAGTGCCCCTGAGTTCAATCCCCAGTACCTTAAAAATATCTATATCTATATCTATATCTATATATATATATATACTAAAATGTAATCAAACTGCTCTTAAACAACTCAGAAAAAAATTTTAAAAATAAAAATAATATGTACCCAAAGAAAGAGAATAATAAAGCAAATATAAATAACTACTGATCTAAGAACAGGGTATAAGGGACCTCCTTGTACCTAGTACTATTCTTGAAACTTAGAAAGTTTGTAAATTTGAAAAGTATGGTAGCAGGGCATGGTGGGGCACACCTATATTCCCAGCAGCTCAGGAGGCTGAGGCAGGAGGGAGGATCAAAAGTTCAAAATCAGCCTCGTCACTTAGCCAGGCCCTAAGCAACTTAACCCTGTCTCAAAATTAAAATAAATAGGGCTGGGATATATAGTTCAGTTGGAATAGTGCTTGCCTCACATATACAAGGCCCTAGGTTCAACCCCTAGCACCACCAAAAAAATAATTAATTAATTAATTAAAATAAAAAGGGCTGGGGATGTGGCTCAGTGGTTAAGTGCCCCTGGGTTCAATCCCCTGTACCAAAAAAAAAAAAGTATGGCAAAATTTAAAGTTACCAAAAATACATACAGTTGGAAAGATAGCCATAAAAACTTTGATACATGTCACTGGCTGAAA